TCATGATATAGATTTATTTATTTACACGGAAATATAAAGAAATTAAACAAAGATGTTTATTCACATGGGAATTATGGAAATTATTTATCTCGTTTTTAGTTTTCGTCCGAAACTTATTAAAATGCGTCGTTACACAAACTCAGGCAACACGAATATAAGAGAAATCGCAAACCGGTTGTTTTCGGCCGCTCGGCTTTGACTCGGAGTGTGTATGCAAACGACGTGTGTTTCCGCGATGCAAAATTCAAGATAGAAATGCGATGCGCAAATGTGTGCGGTGATTACCATGACGCACGCATTATCGTGCGTCTTAATTATACGCTGGCCTCGCGCGGCGCACGACGCCGCGACGCCAGCGAGGCTCTCGCGAAATCCGCCTCGGGGAATGTCTTCCCAGGCAGGCAGACTTTCGTCTCTTGTCACGACAATGTAATCGGAGCAAAGCTCAAAGGTGTGATCGGCATTGAACGGCGGAAGAGTGATAGAACACGCATTGTCGCAATTGAGCGCTTTTATTGCGACGATTGCGCTAAGGCGGCACGCGGCGCGGAGGCCTTCGCGGTGCATTAATACGTCGGAACTAAAACAAGCGACGTCATTCATGTCGACGCTAACGAAGGAAAAACTTCGGGGACAAAGGCAAATGCCGGGGCGCCTTCGCAGCCGGGACAATCGCACTCGCCAATTTCCCGGCCGTGTGATCGAAAAATTCTTACGCTCCAGTTCGCGCGTTAAGATTGGACCCGCGTGGCGTTTTCAGCGCAAAATCAGCCGATCCAGTCGCGTTCACGTGGGACCTCACCGAGGTTCAGCAGAGCTCGCAGCGTAGAACCGTTCGCGGCGTATCCCACGATAGTGACGGGGGGGGGGCGGGGAGATGGTAAAAAAGAAGAAAATGCACGAGGAGGCAGCTGAAAATCATTCGCTCTCGTAGAGAGATTCGTAACGAACGAGACGGTGAGAGCTGAGATTCGACCGCGCAGCATCCGCGCAGCTCGGGCAATTCGTGTCTCATGATGTCTTATTCATGAATGATAACGGAGGGCGTAGGTCGTACTCGTGTCGAACGCCTCTGCAGCCTCTGCGAGTTCTAAATCACGAGTGTCATTTCGTCATTCCCGGCCATCCTGCCGTCCCCTGCGCGTCACTTCGCCGCTCACCTCGGCAGGCCGCGATATTTTGCTTCGTCGCTTTTTGCATAATTCAGCCTGTGAGGCGCATAAACGGGGTTAAAAAATATCGTCAGCGCTCCGCTCGCGCTTGCGCTCGCGGAGCCTCGGAGGCGAGCGGCGAGACGTGTGAAACTCGCACGCTGCACAAAAAGAGTGACGTACGCACGAGGATGTTCACGCGTTTTTACATGTTTTCCGGTCTGCTAGGCGCGTCCGTATGCGCCGGTGAAAGATAGAAACGCCCGCAGAATTGTTACCACCCTCCGCCCTTCGCGACCGCCGGATTCACGGACGCCGCCTCTCTGCCGTGTTGCGACAACATTTGCCACACGTGGCGCGTCTGTTGGATGTTTTTTTTTTTTTATTTATTTTGTCGTTTATTTATTTTATTATTTTGGAGAAACATTTTCCTTTGAAATCGTATATTATCGAAAATTGATTTCAGAGCTTTGTTAGACACATCGTTCTGTTTTACTCTTAACGCGGCTTCTGTAATTCGCGTAATTCTGTGCTGAGGGATTTTGCTGAGTCATTTTCTCCAAATGTTTTGATAAAAGTTGATCGGAAAATACGGGGGGAGGGGGGGGGGAGGAAATGATGTTTGTTATTTACACTCGCTAGCTCTATATATTCCAAGTCTCTCTCGTCAATCACTCGTCGTCACTTCCTATTTGCGAAAGCTTCGCTTCACGCCTCGTGCCTTCTATCGGCTTCGCAATAAAGAAGCTTGTCCGCGCGCTCAAATGGCGTGACGAAATTCGCCGTGCCCAATTCCGCCCCGCTGCTACCATGCTTTATAACCCTCGAAAGATACGACGGGGCTCAGACGTCGCGGCGGCATCCGGGCGCCGCGCCGGCGAGTCTGGACTTTTCGAGCGTACGGCCCTCTGCACGACGCCCATTTCGCCTTTCGTACGTAATCCCCGGCACGATGTAGACCGCACGCAACGATCCGTAACTTCGGCGCATTTGCGTCGATGTTGCAGCCACGTCGAGGAGGCGCGATGCGCGGAATTCCGTTCGGTCGATAGCGCGCGCTACGAGTGCAAGGGAGTCTCCGCTGGAGGAGGAGCGAAGGAAAAATTACGAGACGCAATTAATCAAACAGCTGACTCGTGTGCGATCAACGCTCGGACGTTTTGCTCTTTGTCGACTTCTGCACTAATTTATTTTTTTTTTCTAGAGCTATCGTATGCCATTGAAAATAAAGCAAAGGCGGCATGGCAAGCTGTTTGACGTATGATATGAATCTTTGTATTTATATTTGTAAAGTTAGAAAAATCGACATCGAACGTTGCATTTCCACTAAAGTGCAGGATACAAGGATACGGGAATGAAGAAACAAACGTCCAGTCCGATTCCACGTCGTTCGGCCCCGAGAGAGCGAGAGCCGCGCGACCTTTTCCCCGGACGAGAACTTCTTCGAGAGCTTGTCGCCATTCTCTCCGGGCGATCTTTACACCAGAAAATCGCATCGCGCCTCTCGCTCATGTTCGCCGTGAGCTCTAATCCCCGCGGATCGGATGTGCATGAATCGCGCAGTCATCGGCGCGCATTGGCGCCGTGCTTTGTCGCGGTTTCGATTTGCATAGTCGCAATCAAAGCAACGGCATGATTTAAAGGCGCGCTTTAATCGCTGCACGCGATAGTGAAATATACAACGGAGACCGTGCGCCGCGAGCGGAGTACCGCGTAAAGTTACAACTGTTCCGCTCGCTCTCTCTCTCTCTCTCTCTCTCTCTCTCTCTCTCTCTCTCTCTCTCTCTCTCTCTCTCGCGAGGCTCTCTCTCGCGAGGCTCTCGAGATTCTCATTCATTCCTTCCGACAGCCTGGCGCATCTTCGCCGATACCTTCAGCAGGATCCAAGGTAAAGCACGATATCGCGCCCGGCGCATCGATACCGCTGAGACGCGAGGCGTCTCCCGACGAATTTCCTGCGGCCGTTCAGAGCGTGCGCGCGACTGTCCATGGAAACCGGAAGTCCTGGCGGTTCTCCCCCCCTCTCTCTCTCTCTCTCTCTCTTTCTCTCTCTCTCTCTCTCGCGTGTGCGCCGTACTATCGCGCGGCCCGTAAAAAGTGCGCCTTCTCGATCGCCGCGGGAAGATAAGATCGGCCGGTACCCCGCTGGCTGAACATGTCCGTTACTTTCGTAACCCCTCGCGACCCTATCGCCCTGCGCCACCTCACCTTGATAGCGCGCCTTGATATCGCTCGCTGTGCGAACAGCGCGTGATAAACGCGACACGATGTGTTTTGCGCGCGCGACGCGATTCCGCTCGCGTCGTGACTAGGCCGACCGGAGTGACGAAGATTCTCTACTAAATCGCTCTCTCTCTCTCCCCCCTCCCCCCCCGCCCTCTTCCCTCCTTCTATAACATCCGCAATATCAAATGACGGAACACCTTCGGGGGAAAATTGCACAACTGTATACCTGCTAGTTAATAAGCAACTAGCGAACCGATATGTAGCAATTTTCAATTATGTTAATTGTGTCATGCACGTAAATGCTGCGCTTTACGTAGTTGACTGTATCGTAGTTTGAACCGTTCCAGGAGACGTGCCCTAGAGCGCAAAAATGTATAACGCTTCTTGTCTCTCTTTTTCTCCTCTCTCTCTCTCTCTCTCTCTCTCTCTGTCTGTCTCTCAGGACGGAAGAAAGGCGGTATGCAGAAGTATGCGCTCCGTCGTGCGGACGCGGATATCGCGGCTGCTACGACTTCCACACGCGTGTACAATCTGCGCCTCAATCTAGGGTTAAATTACAGGATTGACCCGCCGCCGTTCCCTCCTCCCGCCCCCTATCTCCTGCGCGCTGGACACTTTGTAAAATACACCGTACTCATTGCTTCGCGGCCCGGGTTGTTGCTCGTCGTCACGATCGCCTTCTCCTGAGCAAGCGGCGTGTCGTTTGCACGTATATGCGCGCGGATCTGCGCGCGGCGTGCAACAGCTCGCGGCACTTTCTAGACATAATGTCGGCCACACGAACGCTATTTATACCGGCTGATTCACGGAGCGGAGTACGCGTGGCATCGCGCTTCGAGATCTGATTTCTGAATCCCCAAAGACGATAAGTTTTTCGCGCGCGCACTCGAAATGCTGCTTGCCGGCTGGATATTCTCCGATACTGCCGCGGACGCGAGACGCCGCGTGGATGTGCGATAAAGAGTCGTCGCGATAAAGAGACGATATGCAGATAAATTCGCTATCGAGCAAAAAAGTCGATTCCTTCCGAACGCGAACAGAGGCCCTCAATTCAGAGGATGAAAAATCCTCTCAGCCTCTAGCGATGATTTCTTTGCTCTTATTTCTTATTTCTTCAAGATTGCCAAGTCCGCGATTATCAGCGATGAAGAGGTGATCTTTCAGCGGGGTCAAGCCACGCTGAGAAAAAATGCGCAATTCTTTCTCAGCGACATCTCGGAGAATCGATTCACCGATTTATGTGAATAATCGTGTCGCGAATATCGTGGAAACGGTCGTTTCGTTTTCCTCACCGTTCGTCTATCTTTAGGCCGGGGTAACTTTTGGTTATCGCTACGTATGTATATGCATACGCATATGTATATATAGCAGCAAACTGTTCCGTAATTAGCTTGTTACGACATTCTCCGGAGATACGAATGCGCGCGACCGAGCTGATAAATATGAATCTGTTTTCGAGCGACTTGGTTCGTTCGTGCTTGCGCGAATGTTAAATAAGGCAACGGTCATCCCCGCCGTAATTCCATTTGCTCCTTCACGGTTTCCGCGATCAACTCAGCCGGCGCTAACTTCGCCTCGGAATAATGCCGCTCGCCCACACAAAGCGAAAGCCATTTTATTTACCTGACCGATCGATCCGCCCTCGTGACTAAATTAATCCATTTCTAACGAGCATCTCAATATCGGGCGTCGATCGCCCTCGTCTGTTGCAGGATGAGAAGGTCACGATGCTGAGACCCGGATCCGTGGCGGGCCTGTTGGTCCTCGTGGCCGTCCTGAAGATCGCGGACTCGAACCGCTGTCTGACAATGCTGGAAGGTAAATCGCCGTCATTATCACCGGCCCGATCGTGCGGCTCAATTACAGCGCATTTGTCAGCTCGCGAAGAGACGCGATACTGCCCGTCGGCTCCCCCCCCTCTCTCTCTCTCTCTCTCTCTCTCCCCTCTCTTTCTCTCTACGTTCTCGGCGAAACGTCGGCGCCTGCAACGATCGGCTAATTAGCGGCGATCGTTAGACGCGCTTTGAATCGAATCGCCACCGCCGTGGATGTTTATTTATTTATCGCGCGTTCATCAGCATTCGCTCAACTTCAGCCGTCGGCCAAATAATTAGATGTATCGCGAGCTCGCGACGTAATGATATGCTGAATTCATTCCGGTGCGTTAATGTAGCCGCACGCTGCGTAGTTTCATCTGCTTATTATCGAGCGCTTATTAACACGGTTATTACGCGGATTGACAACGGCCGGAAATGTTCTTCCCTCCACTGCATGTTTTTCTCAGATGTTTACATTGTTCAGATCGGACGGCAAAGCGACCTTGTATTTCTGCATATGCAGTGACTCTCAATCCGCGCTGGAGTCGTTCGCGTTCGCGGCTGACATCCGCGACGTCGTCAGCGGGAGATTTAATCTCGCGGCGGAATCGGAGAATCGATCGAGCGAAATCGAAGGACGCTTCCCCGAGCGAGGGTGATTTTTTCAGAGGTCAATCCGAAAAGGGTGATCCACTACGAGGGCCAGACTCTGAACATTCAGTTCGAGGTGTCGAGGAGAGTCACCCAGAGGATGGCGTCGGAGATCATGAAGATCTTCCTGGTCGAAGTGCTGGGCTACACCGGCGTCGCCGTGGTCGAGAAGGACAGCAGATTCGACGCGACTGAAGCTTTCGAGAGACTGTCCGAAATTGTGTACCAGAGATACACCGGGCACAGAGTGTAAGTTGACCTGGACCGCGACCGTTTGCCGCGAAATTTTCAACTTCGAAGAACTCGCAGTACCTCTCTCTCTCTCTCTCTCTCTCTCTCTCTCTCTCTCTCTCTCTCTCTCTTTCCACGAGTGTTCTCCTCCTCCGCTGTCGAGTCGCAAAAATATCTTCTCGCGATACGACGTTGTGTCCTTTTTTTCTTTTTCGTCGAGTGTGTAAACAGCTGTGTTGAACTTCTCGCGGGATGTTTACGTAAGAAGGATGGAAGGTGTAACTTTTTGACGTGCATTTTCCATTCATAAAGAGCACCGTGCGGCCGCATCAGCGGATTAATGATCGAGGACACTCGTCCCATTGCGCCGATTGTAAATACGCTTTGTACTCTTTTCGCCGAGCAATTGCGTCTCAGCTCGGCAACAGCGTTTTCCCAGCGGCAAGTATCCAGGACGTATTTGCGCGATAGGAGTCGGGTTCATCATCGCGTAATATAGCGCCTATCACGGTGCACCTTTCAGACGGACGCGACGTATTTTCCAGCGTAATATCGAGGCATCGAGCTCCTCTCGAGTGGCGATTCTTAGACGCGTCGAATACGCCTGACAATGTTTCTTTGATTGCAAATACGATAGCAATGCGCTCGATTATGCGCTTGACTAATATCCGGCGAGCGCGAGCGGCCGGAAAAGTTGCGCCTCAAACATGATCAGCGATCCTGAGACATTTTACGAGATATTTTCCGCGTTGAATCAAAGGCGATCGACAGGCGATTCATTCGAAAAGTCGCAATCCGCGGCCAAGTATAATAAATTGTCAAGTCAAATACTCAAAGTCGAGTTTCGCTGGAAACATTCGGTGCCTCGTAATATTCTTCTGATTAATACGGGACGATTTCAATTTATTTCAAATAGATATTTTAGAAAGGACTGTTTTAGAATTGACAGTTTAGTTTTGCGGAAATTAAAGAATAACTAAAGAGAAATTAAAGAGAAATAAGAATGTAAATTAAAAGAAAAAAATTTAATTAAAGAATAATTAAAGAATTTTATCCGACACTTTTGTCGTCACCGATCAATCATAGATTGACGAAGATATCAAGATTTGGATGAATTTGGAGCTTTGTTAGTCGACTTATCTAGAAAGACGCGCGTAATTGTTGCAAATTGGGATACTCGCGAATCGGCAAATTCGCATGAAACGAGGAAGACGACCCAGACGGAAACGCCAAGTCGAAGAATCCAACGGACAAATTCGCGTGAAATTCCAGCGAGCAAACGCGCAAAGACGCTTTTAAAGGCGATTAACATTCCTGTCTCAATCGTAGATTTCCAGAGACGACGGTAAACATGGAGGTGTGGATCTCACCGCAGCAGGACACGACGCCGTTGTTGAACAGGTACGACGTGAAGGAATGCGGCTCGGTAGCGCCGCCGGGACATTTCGGTTGGTTCGTCCCGGAAGCGCTCTCCAGGCCCGACGACACCTGGCTGGTCTTCTCCAAGCTGGAGACAGCCGGCAAGTTCGCCATCGACGAGGCCTACCTACCGATCGTCAAGAACTTCACCATCAACCCGGAGACCTGGGACTACTACTGCCAGGCTGTTTTCTGCCAGCACGGAATGTACGTGCCGGAACAGTGTCAAGGTCAAGAGCAACAGAGGCCACCGAGCTGCGCGCTACTGTTGGCTGGGTACCCTGACGAGACCGGCTTCGTGAAGGAGCATATCGACGAGATGAAGCTCTACGTCAAGGTGGCGTGGGTCGGCCCGAGTCTCAGGCATCTCAGCAAGTACCTGACGAAGGAGTACATGCAGTTGACGCGGAACTCGTCGGCTCCCGTCGGCGACAACAGGTACTGACGATGCGATGACGAATAATATGCGTGAATCTTGCCGAAATCTCTCTCTCGCTGTTGATCGATGGGAGCAAGCAGGACAAGGTATGATGTTTCTTACAACTCTTGGTCTCTTCCAGGTCACTGGTGATCCTCCATTACTCGCCCAGCAGCGTGATCCCGAACGAGAAGGAATTCGCGACGATCGACTTCCCCCGTTGCGGCTCGAAGAACAGCACGATCAGCTGCTCCTATGAGACGAACCGGCTGACGAAGTTGGTGTGGGGCCGGTTGGAGATGATCGCGAGGCTTGCCTTCGAGGCGATCAATCGCGCGAAGTTCAGCCGCACCATGTACGAGGACCTGATCGCGCGGCGCAGCCGGGCGGCGAGCGGTGTTCCCGACGAGCAAGTCGCCTGCGACTGGCTCAAGGACAACCTCAACTACACCTTGGCCAGGTGGATGCCCAACAACGATAACAAGAACACCCTCTTCGTGGGTGGAATATTCCCCATGAGCGGCACTTCCTATCAGGCCAAGTCGATCGTGGTCGCCGCCAGCATGGCGAAACACGCCATCAACGCCAACAACACCTTGCTGAGGGACTACACCCTCTCTTTGCTGGCCAGCGACGGCCAGTGCAAGTCGGACATGGTGATGAAGTCCTTCATCGATTACATCGTGCACAACTATTACGAGAAGTTGGTCGGCGTGTTGGGACCCGCTTGCTCGGAAACGGTGGAGCCGCTGGTCGGCGTGTCCAAGCACTACAAAACGGTCATCATCAGCTACAGCGCCGAAGGCTCCAGCTTCAACGACCGCGCTAGATACCCGTATTTCTTCAGGACCATCGGCGAGAACAAGCAGTACAAGCACGTGTACCTGCAGCTGCTGCAGAAATTCGGCTGGCACCGGGTAGCCTCCCTCACGGAGGACGGGCAAAAGTACACCGAGTATATATCGTACATGCAGGACATGCTCAGGGACAACGGCATCGTCTTCGTGGCGACCGCCAAGTTTCCGAGGGAGCGGGAGGTCGACGTGATGACGAAGGTAAATCTCTGCAGTGATCTTGCCTTGCCTTCATAAGAGTCTTTGCCGTCTTGTGCCGATGTAATGAAGCCGCGTTCCGCGACGTAAAGACGCGAAACTTTTCCTTGTACCTTCCGTACGATGATGTTGTTGCGAAAACGAGGTCTCAGACAATTCTCTAACATTTGTTCCCAGTATTTGCAAGATCTGAAGGAAAGGCGGGCAAAGATCATCATCGCGGATGTGTACGACGGGGTGGTTCGTCAGGTCATGTGCGAGGCGTACAAGCTGGACATGACAGCTGTTCAGGTGATAATTACAAATCGAACGGCGTGTTCGCAAGATTAAGAAGCGAGGTTTTCGATTCGGCTGCGATTCGAAGCGCTCACACTCTGCTTTTCTCTCAAAGGGTTACGTGTGGTTCCTCCCACTTTGGCTCCAGCAAAAATGGTACGATACGGATTACTATAATCAGCAAGGCGAACAGGTCCCTTGTACAACGGTGGAGATGACAAGAGCCATAAACGGATATCTCGGCCTGTCGCACGCATACTTCGCCCGGGACGATGATATAATGCAGGAAGGAATCACCGTGCGCGAATGGCGCACGCGATATGAGAATTCCTGTCTAGCGCAGCAACAGCAACCTTCCAACTACGCCGGCTACGCCTATGACGCCATGTGGACCTACGCCTACGCGATGGATCGCCTGATTCACGAGAACCAGAGTTACGTCTTCGATCTTCACAGCGACCAAACGATCAATCGTCTCACGGACATCATCGGCGAGACCGACTTCAACGGGGTGGGTTGAGCGAGAGAAAGATTGACCGATTATCGAAAAATTGATAGTTTTTCAACTTGTAACAGCGAGACCCACTTTTTTACTCGACAGGTATCCGGCAGGATCAAATTTTTGGGCGGGCCATCGAGATACTCCGTGATCAATGTCGTGCAGTTCATCGATAACGACACGCGAGTCGTCGGCAATTTTTATCCGAACATCTCGGAGGAGAAGCACGACGTTATCGGTGGGACCTTGGACTTGAACATGTCGGCCCTCGTTTGGCTGTCGGAGACGATGCCGGATGACGGCTCGGAAGCCCCGTCGAGATGTGTCCTAGCAGGTTTGGCGGAGCTGTTGGGTGTCTCTTGCGAAGTGGCGATCGTGATAGTAAACGTTATCGGCTTCGGCCTTTTCGGGATAATTCTCTTCATTGGCTTCATCTTCATTAAGCGAAAGTACGTTTATTATATTTTTCTCATTGATCTCAGGCGCGTGTCACTTACAGTCGGTGACTGTAATCCCAAGTTTAATCGCACTCTTTTACCTTTTAGGTATGAGAAGAAGGTACGGCTGCATGAGAAGTACATGAAGTCCTTGGGCATCCATATAACGCAGGCCGACACTTCCAGCCTGGACACGTGGGAGATCCCACGAGATCGAGTAGTGATCAATCGAAAACTCGGGGAGGGTGCTTTCGGCACCGTTTATGGCGGCGAGGCTTTCTTCCCCGAGAAGGGCTGGCTAGCCATTGCCGTGAAGACCTTGAAAGTCGGCAGTTCGACCGACGAGAAGCTCGATTTCCTGAGCGAGGTCGAAGTCATGAAGAGATTCGAGCACAAGAATATCATCAAGCTGTTGGGCGTGTGCATCAAATGCGAACCCGTGCTCACCGTGATGGAGTTTATGCTCTACGGCGACTTGAAGACTTACTTGCTAGGCAGGAGACATCTGGTGAACGACCAGAACTACGAGGATTCCGACGAGATCTCGAATAAAAAATTGACCGCCATGGCGTTGGACATTGCCAGAGCTCTCAGCTATTTGGCCCAACTGAAATACGTTCACAGGCAAGTTCACTTGTAGAGTTTCCAATTTAACAATCCCGATAACGATGATGCATCGGCAGAATGCATGACGTTTCGTTTCTTCCTCAGGGACGTCGCCTCTCGCAATTGTTTGGTGAACGCCCAACGAGTGGTGAAACTCGGCGATTTCGGCATGACGAGGCCGATGTATGAGAACGACTATTACAAGTTCAATCGTAAGGGTGAGTTTCACCGTGAGGTTACGTTCGCGTAATCAAGTCATCAATATCGCTCTACTTTTCGGTCGGTTGCACATCGCGAAATCTTTCTTCTTCCGCGCAGGTATGCTGCCGGTAAGATGGATGTCGCCCGAGTCACTGGGACTGGGTATCTTCACGCCAGCGTCCGACGTTTGGTCTTACGGTGTCTTACTTTACGAGATTGTGACTTTCGGCAGCTTCCCCTTCCAAGGTATGAGTAACAACGAGGTTCTCTCGCACGTGAAGGCTGGCAATTCCCTCACCGTGCCGAAGAAAGTGAAGCCGTTGCTGTAAGTGATCACTATTGCGGCGATGTTATCTCGTTTGACCATCATTTTTCTTCGGCCTGCCAAGACAATCTTCTACAATGGAACGTATCTCATTTGCAGCGAGAATTTAATGTACTCCTGCTGGAACGTGGACCATTCGAAGAGGCCGACGGCGCCGTACATCGTAGACTTCCTGGCGACTAATCCCCGCATCGTCTCGCCGTGTCTGGACGTGCCCCTGGCGAGTGTACAGCTGGAGAACACCGGTCAACTGGACATACAGTTGACGGAGAATATTCGAAAGTTCTCCCTCTCATGGCCGTCGCAGCGTCCACCTTCCCAGGTGCACGGCTCCAAGTCCTTGGACTCTCCAACGCCGCTTTTGCTGGACTTGAATTGCCAGGACGACGAGCACAATTTGGACTCTCTACTGGCCGGCCAGTCCTACGAGCAGGACAGTTCCAGTCCGCTGTTGGATCCACTGAGAACGTCAGTGCTGAAGCAAACGTGGCTGCAGGAAAATGCCACGGACGTGAAGGACAGTCAAGCTCACAGGTACGTCAATCTTCAACCGGGCATGTTAAAACTGGCCGGCGAAGCCGCCATGAACGGCAGCGCCGGCAATAACATCCAGATGGAAGAGAGGACGTCTATGCTGCACGAGAAGAAAAGTAGCGACGACGTATCGGTGCTCTGACGCAAGTAGGCGATTTCATGAAGAAATCGAGAACCAGCAAGTGCTTCCAAGAACGCGGCGCTTTGACGAGTAGAGACGAGACTGTACAAGGTCAGAGGTCACGATAGTCATGATAAAGTAGCGAATACCACCCCGGGATGAAGCAGCAGCGGAGGACACGTGAGTATTCGTGTCTCTGCGGGCGAAGGTGATCGCGCCAAGATCACACCAAAGGGTTCTTCAACAAGTACAGAGGCAGGCGAGGCGACCGGCTCCTCTGACGCGGCATTTCAATTGATCGACGGGGAATATCATGAAATATTCTCCAAATTCCTCGAATGTGCGAAGACAAAGCCGAAGGCGGCCTGGACGGTTGTGGTAGCCGCCGTACTGAGAATTTTCACTTTCTCGTGAGAATACTTAAGAGAAAGATCTCGAGAAAATACGGCCTACCCCCCCCCGTATCCCTCGTGCGCCGATCGCGCGCGATTCTGTCTCGAACGAAAGAAACACTGCGGGAATGAAGCCTGAGTCGAGATACCCGTCGGGCAGCTAGAACGTAGATTTCGTGCTGACGGTATGCGTCTTCTTGCGGGACACTTGCACGGTGGATAGCACAGCTGTAGCTGTAGAAAAGCCTACCCTGAAGCCATAGGCTCCTAAGCCAGATGTGCTCAGTAGTAGTCGAGAACAGAAATACAACGTGGCCGTCGCAGCTGAGAAGCTGAGACTCCACGCGGATATCGCGGCGACACGCGGGTCGCGATATCGATGATGAAATTCACTTCATTGGAGCTATTTTTGTTGAGACTGACTTCTATCACGAAATTAAGTCGCATCGTCCGACACGGATGGCCATTGACGACACTGTCCGCCGTCTCGCACGGGCAAGTGTTAGTCAACGTACATAAGAAAAGAAAGAAAGAAAAACAGGAAACAAAGAGAGAGAAGAGCTGCTTCTCGCAGATGCAGATTTCGCGACGAAGAGACGAAGTCGGTCGAAGCGTCGGGGTGCATCCTTCATTCGGCAATTCTGTCGCCTTCTGCTCAACGCATCTTTAAGACTGACTCTCGAGACAGAAGCGACGCGTCGTATCTCGTTCTCTTCACCTACTCTTCCTGTTTCTCTTCTTCTCCTTTCTCTTTATCCTCCTTTGTTGATCCGTAGTTCGTTTCGGGAAGAAGCTGGCGCATTTCAAGCGGATGATCCGCGGCGTTCTGCGAACCGGCCGGCTGGCGACGTTCGCGTAACCATGACATACCTTCTCTTTTCACTCGTCACAGGTAAACGGTCAATGAGCGATTCCGCTCTTATCTTACGATATCTCCGACGAGTGCGCCCACGCGCGCATGTCTGTCAGTCACACGCGTCGTCACACACCGTGTTGTTCTCTCTCGCCGCGACATCGCGCTAAGGTTCAATATTATAAGACTAATCACCGGCTGGCTGCATAACTCGGTCATACACACATACACACATGCAGTTGCTGCTATTTATTGATATGATAATTTTATTACGATGTGTAACGAGTGGATTTCTTGCGGAGGATTTTTATACGGTGTTCACGTTTCTCGTTGAGGGTCCATTCGCATAGCATTCTTGTATAAACAGATATATTCCCCAGACCACAGGGACAACGCATCGCGCACATTTTATACGACTACAGAGTAAACTCGCGTAAAGTTTTCGCCTCTTTCCGACACCAGTCAACAGTTCCTTAAGAAACGCTTTTCTATATGTTCCTTCATTCTCGATGTAGATAAACGCCGAAATATACATAAGACGTATAAGCCTCTTGTTTTCGAAGTGGCGAAGCGGAGAGAAGTCTCTCTCCCTCTCTCTCTCTCTCTCTCTCTCTCAGCTTCACCGTTCTCGAAATAAGCGATTAATTTCTACGTAAAGCAGAGCGTGTGCCATTCGCTAGATAGCTAACGCGACGAAGAACCGTGCGGCTAGTTGTGTTAAATCCGATCAGAATTTCAGGAATCGTCATCGTAGATTCACAGAGAGAGAAAGCTGAAAGCTGGGGTTCATTTTCAGCGTACGCTATCCGACACGACTGAACTAGCGGTACAATTATTATAGAACGTCCGGCAGGAACGTTCGCGTAGGGCTTCAAAGACTCCGATGTAGAAAAGTATATTTAATTCTCGATTCCAGAGTTCGCGCGCGCGCGTACATCCGGCAGGGATGTTGCGAGAAACGTATTGACAAAACACACACACACACACACACACACAGTCGTTCTACCGAGGAAACACACGCGAGTCTCTCCCTCCGATTTGCAGAAGCTTTGGATACACTGTAGTTCAGTTTGCAAAACGAGAGACGCGTGTTTTCTCACAGACGTTGTTAACGCTTTGCCGCTCGGAAGTGCCAGAGAGCACTCTTCCGCGCCGAGAGAGAGAGAGAGAGAGACGCCGCCGGTAAGGTGTTAAACAACCGAAAGAGATGAAAACCCCTCTCCCCTCTTCTGCTAAGTAAAATCAAGTTTCCGTTTGCCGTAATCTTTAAGAAACAACCATCTGTTGTATTTTCCCGGATTCTCGCCGGTCTCGAGTCCGTCCAGTTGCGCGACGGACGATCGGAGGAGGGCGAAACCAGCAGCGGGTGTTTTACGTTCATTGCATCACGAGGCAGTATATATGATATATTCATTAAAGCATCACTCTCAATCCCCAACAATCTTACGAAAAGACTTTGCGCTACGGTTATAACTTTTCAATACGTAATAATTTGCGGAAGCTCAAGTGAGAAAGAAGTAGACAGATACAGATTTAAATATAAATGAGAAATAAAAAAAATAATCGTTTATACATGTTATGCATATACGAGGTTTTTCTTCATTTACGTCCACGATTTACGTAACGCTGCTCCTCATCGAAGGTTAAATCGAAAAATTCCCGAGACCACTCTCTTCCTCCGCGACGCTCGACGAAGTGAGAATTATTAAATAAAATTCACTGTCTTAGAGCTTAAGGTTCGCTGCTTCATCAAGCATCGCCGAGGGAAAGATGGCATGGCTCTTCTTTCGATTTAAATTTGAGTAAGAAACAGCGCTGACGTGATCGCTGTGTGAGCGCAAATCGAGAAACATCCTGTGTGAAAGCAGAGCGATGCAGGATGACAGTTTGAAGGAGAAAGATTATTTATTCTGAGTATATTTTGCTATTTAAGTTTCTTTTTTTATACTGTAAGAATATATATATATCGGATTTTTTTTTATGTACAGAGACTATGCTCGAATTTCGGCAACAGTTACGTGTTGTACAATTATGCATATGTATATTATAAGAAAGAGAAAGATAAGCGTTATACGCGTCGATACATACACATAAATATTATGTATATATCGCCACGATCGAGAAAAATTAATCTTCGTTGTAGTGTGTAGAGATAAACCTTTTTTTTACTATCCGTTCGATCGAGGGACAATATTCGCAAGTGCATTGCGACTGGTGTCTGACTCCTTGCGGCAGGTGTAGATGATAGATTTCGTAAAAGAAATTTTTACCTACGTTTGTATATATCGCAGCAAATTGCAAAGTCCTTCCTAATAGTTAACCTCGTAAGAATAATCTCGACCATTTTACGAGATATACGGTTATCTTAGAGCACGTGTAAGGTCCCCTCGATTTTACTCGCTGTACCGTTATACCGGCGTTATTTATTGTCGAATTATTATATATTGTATAATATAGTTATTGTCCAAGGCGCGAGCAATTGATGTCGCAGCGCACGTTCCTTGAGCGCAGATATTTATTGTGCTTTTTGGAATTAGATAATATTAAACGACGTGCCTGTATTTGTCTGTTACTCACACGATCACACTCCCTGTCCTCGCATAATCGCAAAACGACTTGAAAATAAAGGTCCCTCTGACCTCACCGCATTGCTTGATAATAAAAAGATCGCTTACCTGCCATTGCAAGACGCGCAGGAAAATGGAAGATCATCTGACCGTCGTAACAGTCGAAACTTGGAAACAGTCCAAACGGACGCTTCGAAGTAACGTTCTTTGGATCCGGTAAGTTAGAGAACTAGGGATGAGCGATGTGTTACATTGATTACTTAGGCATCGAGTATTTTTATCTAACGAAAAAACCATATATATTTTCTTACTTTGATTATTCCTTAAACGACGGTTTTCTTGTCTTCGGCCAGCTTAGATTCGGAGCGATTAATGTCGTCATAAAATCTATCTGTTTGAGGTTACTAAAGTCAACATCAAAATCGTATTCAAACGACGCGTTTCACCTAGCACCTAACATCCTGTACTAAATATCGGCTGGATTTTATGCGGATCGGTAAAACTGTGATTCGAGTCTCGGTTAAATTTGATGAAGGTTGGTAAATTGTGGATTGAGTCTCGGCTAAAAATTAATTTTAACCAAGAGTTAGCACTTTTCAGCAGTTGATTTTTCAGCAGTTGATTTAGAAAACATCTAACGATGAGAGATAAGAATCATTTAATCTGACGGCTTTGAATCTAAGTAATTCGTTACTTTCGTTGGTTCCAAAAGGCTTTGCTAGGTGGCGTCATCAGTTCTATTCAGAAACCGTCGGCGTCGCAGTGCGATTCAACGGCGAGCAGGCGGATCTTTTTCTGGTTCTTTCTCTCGATGCCTCGTTCGGCAAACTACACCGGACGAAACCTTTTATCATCAATTTGTTGTATATTTCAAGAATAGGTGAGATAATTTCTTTATGAACTTTCTCATTTTCAATCGATACGACTTTCGTCTCTATTTCTTGCCGAGAAATCACTATAAATGCAGATCGTTGTTGCAAGCGGGAGGATCGTACTTTCCTCTCGCTTCATAACCTGCATTTCTTAAGACCGTTTTTATGTTATACCGAAACGGTATATTATATTACTGAAACGCGTAACGGAACGCGCGGAACGGAGCAACCGGATAACCAGAAAATCGAGCATGAAAATTAAGCACAAGACAAATAGTCTGTCTTCTTTCGAAGAATTCCCCGATGCACATCGGTGCGACAAGTTAGAGCGAAACGACACACAATAAACTGTCTCACTCTAACTCACCGCAGAGCGCAGTGTGCACCGGTTCAGAAAGTTCTCGAAAGAGAGCAGACCTAATTAAGTATTCGTGTCCGTTGGAATTTCAGTGTTGGCCACCCAGCCCGCTTTTCGCGAATCGTCGCTTAGACGGAGCGGAACGGAGTTGGTGAAAGTCATCACCCCGAGAGAGGGAACGAGCGGTCCTCGAGGAGAGAAGAGAAATAACGCGATTCAGCCTCGCGCGTTCACCACCGCGGTCGGTATCTTCATCCTCGGCCGTTTGTTCGTCGGGCGAAGCGGCAGGACCGCAGGAGAGGAGAGGAAGCCGCCCCACCGGCGGCGTGCGCCGTAAGTCTTCCGTGCGCGACACCTCCGACGCTTATGCGGGTATTCGCGGCCAAATACTGCAGATATTCGCGATAATAACGGCAACTCGCCGGTCTCTCCGTACCGGTGTGTCTCGCCGCAGCCACCCACACACGCGTGTTACTCGGCACGCTCGCGTGTCCGATACCACACACGTGCACGCACGCACGCACGCACGCACGCGGTACGCTCTCGCGAGCTCTCGCTCGCTCGCTCCAAATGAGCCAAAGTCGCGCTCGTTCGGTCCATTGTTTACGCGGCTACACACCGCCGGCCAGCTTCTCTAGGAGGCCGGGATAGATGAAGATAACATCGCCGCGCCGCGCCGGCGAGCGACGGCCGCGGGGGGTCCCCGGTCTCTCGCAACAGGTCTCGCCGCGGTGTGTTCTCCTACCTGTTTCGACTGTTCTCGGCAGCCCGATCATTATAATGTTAAACGATTCGGCGGAGGCCCGCGTCCGAGCGCCTACGCTCCACCGCGAGGACACGCGCGCGCCTCCTCGTCGGCGAGTCCTCGCGGAGATCGCAGCTAGACCGGTCGCCGCCGCACTTTCTTTCGATGGCTTCTTAACGTTACGTTATCTGAATTGTTGTGTGATTTTTACGAGCATCCTCACGGCGCTCTGCTCGCAGTCGCGACGGACCTCGGCGTTCGCGGCCAGCAGCACTGGTTGTTCCGGAGGTTAGGTGGGTGTCGCGGGATTTAGACGGGGGACGGGTTCCTTTTATACGGGCGTAAATAATGATCGAAGGGCGCTATCGCGAGTGCGTAGGATCGCACCGATGCGAATGACGAGAAGGCGATAAGAACGGAGCCGCCGAGGGAACGGCCGAGGGAGCTTTTGGCAAGATAAATTATTAGCCGGTTGTCGGTCGAGAAAAGTCACCAGTCGTTCGAGGGAGGGAGAAGATTTTCGCCCGCGGCGACGCGTCGTCGTTCGTGCTTTTGGCAAAGAGGGAGGCTTCGGTTTCTCACGAGGACGTCTAGCGATCTTTTCAGGTCAAAAAGGCCGCCGCCGAAACAACGTTGGCGAGGAGGATACGGTGCGTGTCGTTTTGCAGTCCGGCAGATACAGCATATCTAAGGCGAGAGAGAGACGCTGAAAAGTCTTCGACGTTTCCCCGAAGCGGCGCATCGTGCGAGTTTCTCATATCATCTCGGAGACGAACGAAGATATAGAATGTCGCCTGGCGGGCAGATAATCGCAGCGCGCGCCTCCTCCAAGGTGTCTAAAGTGTCTCCTCGCTGCCCCGGAGATATTGCGTTACGTTAATTACGCTGCGATAATCGCAGCCACTGTTAAATGACGGTCGCCGTTGACGACCGACGGTCGGACAACGCGCGCGTCCGACAACAATGACGGTCTCGATTTTCTCGCGCGGCTATCGCGCGAGGTGAACCTAACGGTATTTTTCGTGCTCCGAGCTCGAGAGCGCCTCTCGAGCGGCCGCGCGCGCGCGCGCGGCGGTTCGCGCGATAGAGATTCTTGAGTTACTACTAAGGGTCTTCCCAAATTCCTTCTAACGTTTATCGATCAGTGCAGCCGATGCAGTGGACACTGCACGATAACGATGAAAACAAGTTTTGCGATCGAGGACACGAAGAAATATAATTGTAATTGCAATTAGCTTCTTACCGTTCGCGGAGCGAACCGCTACGTTTAGATTCTCGATCCCTTTCCCGAGTACGAGTCCTTTTTCCACGTTTGTTCTGTCAGCGCGATACGGCGATACGTATTATTACGCGTTTCGAAAGACTACGACCGTCGCGCGCGAAAAACGAGACCGCTGGGGAAAAGGGCCGCAGAATCCGGGCTGAGAAACGTACCGGCGGAACGGTAACAATAAGAATGTTACGTGCGTTGCGAGGATTGTGTTTACCGGTATAATGAGAACGGCCGCGCGGCGGCTGGGAATTGACGGGCCGAGGGATTGCCGCCAGTACCGGATAAATCTCAATACAAAGTCAATTACGGCTGGCAGCTACGGTCAGGCCGGTGGGCGTGAATGGCTCGCGCGCCACTCATTTGCACCGTACGCGCCGATATCGGGCTGATTTACAAATTCCAGCTGGCTCTCTCGGGGCGGTCTCGTTGACTGACAGCCCGCGTCGCGGATTGTTTATTTACTATCGCGGATACACACGTAGACGAAAATCGCCCGCTAGCTGGTCTCTCATTGAGCGTCGGCGGAAGCGTGCAAGCGTTGCACTCACAAGGAAACATAGGGAACGCGAAAATTGAAAAATTTTTGAAACCCTTCTCCAATTTTGCAAAATCTGAGTACACAGTTGCAAAGAGTATGAAATACACTACAACTTTCGTACAAACTGTTTTTGTATACGCCTCGTATTTTAAAAGATATATGCTAAAAATGAAAACGGTTCGTTTTCTCGAAGGGTAGTTTCCCCCCCTCAGACTGGAATTCCGTATAAGAAATAGTTTTGCATTATCGATTAACTACTTTACTTTCAAAGTTTCACAATTTTTTGAATTTCTGCGTTTCTTACGTTTCCTTTATCAGACTCCCCCCCCCCCCGCTTCTCCACTCGAATCGCTTTAACTATTCCCTTACTTTGCCGTTATTATTTTATCGCGTTTGTCGTGAGGCTGTCGACGACAGTCGATGGAAATCGCTTCACTGCCGTCTCTCCCGAACGAGCTCGACAGCAGGATATTTGCGATTATCACAAAGTGATAAGCTTTGTGATTCGCTATACTTTCCCATCTCACCGCTTTATCGACGAGGATGAGGGGGAGGGGGGCTATAGGCGACGAGGAAAGACCGAATGAATCAGGTCGTAATGCAGCGACGCTGCAACGTCACAACGCCGCCGCTGATATTCCGGCGTTATCGAGCGTTAACGAGCGATCGATCAGGAAATATTATGCGTCCGGGCATTTTTCGCCGCGCTGCCACGAACAGCCGCGAACGCGCGCGCGCGCGCGTGATTTATCCCGCGGACGAGAGCGCGGCCGGTGCTTTGTTACGGGCAACGTTTAGCGCGCTTGATAGCGTCATTAATCCTTTCGGCTGTGCTCGCGCGGTCGCGAGAAAAGTGCTAGATCGCGCGCTCGCGAGCGCGCAGGAATTGTGTGTTACGTGAGCGCGGCGTGGAACGAACGAAATAACACCGAGACAAACGCGCGCTGTCGGAACGCGGCCGGCTAACAAATTCGCGCGCGCGCGCGCGCGCGCACGCGAGTCGGGGCGCAGGCCAGAAAGGCGATGTGTCCGCGAGGAGAGCGTGAGCGTCACTCGTGATGCATCACGTGTCGTTTGTATCGCGGCCGTTCTGTGACTAATCGGGTCAAAGTAGCAGCAGGTCCCCTTACGAGATGATGTGCGCGCCGTCGGGATTGCAGCGCGCCCGCGCGATATTAATCCCGCCAGCTGCGTCGAGCTTTGTGCGAAAGAAGTACCGTGTCTCTCCCTCGTCTCTCCTTTTTCTCGCCGGTCAGCTGAGCGTGTCGGAAATCCGAGAGCGCGCGTCCTCGTCGTACGACGCGAATCTGCGAGCGTAAGTTTCTTGAGCGTAACGTTTGTCGAGATACGTCGTCGAGATCCGCGATCGTTTAACCGCTAGAGACGACCCAGACACGGGATTTCCCGTCGGGCGGTCTTCTCTCGGCGGCGGTGAAATGACGGGCTTACAAGCAGTACCGAGTGCGAGAGAGCTCGTGCTCGAAGAAGCTAAATTGAAACGTAGAGTCGACTAGAGGAGATAATCGAGGAGGCTCCTCCGCCAGCTGCTGCTGCTGCTGCTTCTTCTTCTTCTTCTT